GGCCATGTGTCACCTGGAGGCTGGCAACCATAGCAGCCCTGGAGGCTGACAACCTTAGTTACAAACCTAGATGGCTTTAAAGGAGGCCTAGAAAAATCCAGGGAAGAGATATCCTCCATCAACGGCTGTTAGCTTTTATGGATACAAGAGTGTGTGCTTGTCTTTCAGATGCCGCAGGGCTCCTCTCTGTTCTTAGGGACACTGTTATGGTATCTGGATGTTTTCCTCACACAAGCTAAACAGCAACTTCAGGGGAGTTTTTATATTGGGGAAATGGTGCTTTCCTCTCAGCACACTGACTCTTCCCCCTGACACGCATGTGCTTTACTTATCCTTCAAGACATGGAGAGAGCAAGCAGCATGTACGTATGACACGTTGGTTGACAATAACAGAGTGAAATACGGTGAAAATAGGAACAAAACGAAGGATGTCTATTCTCCTTGGTTTGAGTATTCTCAAAGGGGAGCCCATTTACTTTTGCTTTTACAGGAGAATGACTGCTTGAGAAATCTGAGGACCTTTGGAGAAAACTGATGAAAGGGGAGTAAGGATGTGAACTTGACCAAGTCCAATACATGGTGAAAGGGGCTCAAAGGGACAGAGATAATGTACATACACACACATCTGGGTAACTGGATGCCATTTTCTGTGGTACATGACTATAAGAGAGAATGGTTTCATGGCGATGTCCAGTGCCACAGTACCCTAGCGATATTCTTTAGTGAACTTGTTTTACCTCAGCCACTCAGGAAGCTCCAGAGAGCAGGCGTGACTATCTTTCCCTCATTTTAATCTTACAACAATCCTGTGAGACAGAGTGTAAAGGGCCACCAAGTTGCAGCCGACTTACAGCAACCCGGTAGGGTTTTCAAGGCAAGTGATTAAACAGAGATGATTTGCCATGGCCTCCCTCTGCACAGTAGGGTTGCCCGGTGTTACCTGGCTGCCGGCGGGAGGGGGGGATGTCCCTCTCTGTGCCTGGGACTTTTCTGTGCATGCGCTTTGCGTGCCCGCCATGATGACATCCCCCGGAAGTGACGTCATTGCGCAGGGCATGTTGCAGGGGGGATGCTCTAGCATTTGAGAGGGAAAAAAATGGTGGTAATCATAGAGGTTTTTCTCAAATGCTAGAGTGTCCCCATGCAACGTGCCCTGCATGATGACATCACCTCCAGGTGACATCATTGCGCCAGGCATGTTGGTGCAAACTGGTCTCTTTGGGGGCGCGGCTCCCCCTGCTGGCCAGCTGGCCGGCAGCAGATTGGGAGCCCCAAAGCAGGTAAACCCCCACCCCCGTCGGGGGAATGGCAACCCTACTGCACAGCAACCCTGGACTTCCTTGGTGATTTTCCATCCAAATACTAACCAGGGCTGACCTGACCCTGCTTAGTTTCTGAGATCTGATGAAATCAGGCTAGCCTGGGCCATCCAGGTCAAGGCATGAGATAGGGTTAGAGTTGCCAGCTCCAGGTTGGGAAATACCTGGAGATTTTGCAGGTGGAGCCCGAGAAGTATGGGGTTCGGGGAAGGGAGGGACTTCAGTGGGGTATAATGCCATACAGTCCACCTTCTGAACTAGCCATTTTCTCCAGGTGAACTGATCTCTGCTGCCTGGAGATAAGTTGTAATCCCAGGAAAGTTCCAGCCACCACCTGGGGGTTGGCAACCCTAGATAGAGCAGGTTGCCAGAATGACTGAAGCAACATGACCCAGTGAAATGTATGGCTGAATAGGGAGTTGAATCAAGGGCTTGGATCCCAAGAACCGATCCTGCTGACCGAAGAAGACACTTCTGTCAGCAGAGTAGATCTTCCTCACCTTCTGCTGTGGCCCAAAAGGTCTTACTCCAAAAATGGCTACTAGAGGAGACTCCCCCAGAAAGGGGGAATTGGGGGGAAATGCCCCCATTCTGTTCATGGAAATCCTGTGCCGGATTCAACTCCATGTCCAGCAGTCTCTAGCCACTCCACTATGCTGGCAGACAATAAGCAGTTTCTGCTTGAAACGTGGAAAAAAGTAGAAAGATTTCTTACATATTGGGGATATGTCCATTAGCGAAGAAAAACAACAAGGTACTAAAGCAAAATTTGAATGCAAAGGAGCCTTGGACAAGACTTACAATTAGATCCTCTGTTAGCATATAGCACTAAAGGAAGCGTTGCTTCTCGAGACAAAGAACCGGTCTCGTTTATGTTAACAGCTGCCAGACTTGTATATGCCAGATGTTGGAGACAATCAAACATTCCAGCTACAATGGAATGAGAAGACAAAGTATGGGAATCGGCCTTTTGGCAAAATCAACAATTAGATGGGTGAAAAATGGGGGGGGGGAGTCCCAGTTTCAATATTTTGGCATTTAATTTTTGCAATATTAGGCGGCTTATGCTAGTGTTGTATGTCATTTCGATGTGTTAGGAACTCAGCATGGAAGGAAAATCTTTCTGCACTTCAGTGATATTGAAATATCAATGCATGGAAGGATACAGAGGCCGGCCTACTGAATTCAGACCATGGGTCCGGCAATGAGGGATGCCAGCCTCCAGGCAGGACCTGGGGATACCCCTGGAATTACAGCTCACCTTCAGACTGCAGAGGTCAGCTCCCCTGGAGAAAATGGATGCTTTGGAGGGTGGACTCCGTGGCATTGAACCCCACAGAGGTCCCTGTCCTACCCAGGCTCCATTCCCAAATCTCCAGGAGTTTCCCAGCCTGGATCTGGCAATCCTACCTACCCCCAATCCCTGTCAGTGGCCAAGGGGGACCTGGCAACCCTATGGCAAGCTGGTAGCCGCTTTCCCTCTTCTGCCCTGCTTCACACATGGACACACATGAAGCTGCCTCATATTGAGTCAGACCCCTCCGTCTGTCAAGGTCAGTATTGCCTACTGTGACTGGCAGCAGCTCTCCAGGGTCTCAGGGAGAAGCCTTTCACATCACCTACTACCTGATCCTTTTAAGTGGAGATACCGGGGATCGAACCTGGGACCTTCTGCATGCCAAGCAGCTGCTCTACCGCTAGCCATGAACTAGCCTTTGGAGCCGGTCAACTGACCCTTACACAGTTCTGGTGCCCAGTGAGTTGTGTGTTCTGCCACTAAGCTGCTGTAGTCCTTTAAAGGTTACCAGAACCTGAGTACCTTATGCAGAATTGGGAAAAGATGTATTGCCTGTGCCTAATTGGCACAATTCATACTGATCACATCCACAATTTGTGTGAAATGAAGGTGATCTTGGTATAGAGTGTGATGATTCTTTTTTTTACCTCAGGTGGGGTTTGGGGAGGGGAGGGATCTTAGCAGGATATAATGCCACACAGTCCACTTTCCAAAGCAGCCATTTTCTCCAGGTGAACTGATCTCTGTAACCTGGAGACCGATTGTAATACTGGGAGACCTCCACCCACCACCAGCCAGTTTGGTGTAGTGGTTAAGTGCGTGGACTCTAATCTGGGAGAACTGGGTCTGATCCCCCCACTCCTCCACTTGCAGCTGCTGAATGACCGTGGGCAAGCCATAATTCTGTCAGAGCTGTTCTTGAAAGAGCAGTTCTTGAAAGAGTTCTCTCAGCCCCGCCTACCTCACAGGGTGTCTGTTGTGGGAAGGGGAAGGGAAAGGAGTTTGTAAGCCGCTCTGAGACTCCAAGTGAAGGGCGAGGTATAAATCCAATCTCTTCCTCCCCCTCTCCCCCTCTTCTTCTTCTTCACCTGGAGTCTAAGGAATAAAGAGAGAATCACGGAAATAAGCTACCAAGAATATTATGCTGTGAAAACTTACTAATTATAAACTCATATATTGTTGTAATTAATAAATGCAAATTATACAGCAATTTTGTGTGTATTGATGATTAATACTTATGCAATACTAGGGCTGCAGTCACACACACGAAATAATCCACTTTCGATCCACTTTCAGTGCCGGTTCACACACCAATCTGCATCTAGCATTTGCTCTGCTATCTTACCAACCCACGCTGGAACAGAAATTCCCCTCTACATTGCATGCCACTTTGACTTTGATTGATTGTTGGATTTTATAACAGTGTCCAGACCAGGGGTCATTTGTGGGGGACGCGGGGAGACGCCATCCCCCCGGGTGAGGTGCGGGAGGGCGGGGCCTGGAGCTCCCTGCTGGTGCCCGCTGGAGGTCGCCGCCGGCTGTGGGGAGGACACACTTCCGGTGATGTCAGGGGGTGTGGCATATGCTAATGAGTTATGCTAATGAGTCCCCCTAGCTCTTTTTCTACGAAATGACCCCTGGTCCAGACTTTATGCTTCTTTCACTTCATTTGATCTCTTGGTTTTATGGTAGCCGTCTGCATAGATTTATGGCCATTTAGGGGTGACTCTGCAGTCAACACCGCATTGGCCTGCTGGTTTTGAGCCGCATCTTTTTCTGTTCCAGGGTGGGTTTGGTAAAACAGTGGAGCAAATGCTAGATGCAGATTGGGAACAGTAAAATCCAATTGGAAAGTGCACTGAAATTGGATTGAAAGTGAATTATTTAGTGTGTGTGACCAGGGCGTAGGACTGAAAGCTCCAATACAAATTTGTAAAGTCATTCAAACAAATATCTGGCAACCAGTCATAGTATAGTATGCTGATAGACTTGCACCAGTCCTTTTTGAAACCAGTGGAGCAGATTTTGAATGAGTGGATTCTTAAGCAATACCTGCTTTGATTAAAGAGGATACCTGAAATGGAGTTTTCACAGGCTAGCCCTACGTCAGCTGGGTTCGCATGGAATTCCTATGTTTTCTCTGAAAACAGGACACTTGATGTAGAAATAGCACTTTTTGCACTTTACTATGACTGGTTGCCAGATATTTGTTTGAATGTCTTTACACATTTGTATTGGAATCACGTGGAGACTGACAATGGCAGGACATTTTTCTCTAGGTCTGTTGGCAGCCATTTTGGGGACAAAGTTCATATCCATTCTAGAATAGAGAGTGACATGCAATTGTGCTAACCTCTAGCAACCTGTCCTCTTCCTGTCCTCAGATGCTGCTCCTCCTAGCGCTGAGTTTGCTGGTGATATTACGAGCCGGGGACGGGGCATTCCACCTGAACATCACTGAAGGTAAGAAACTCACTTCTCCGCCCGGCCCAGCTGGTCCTTAACAGTGCCAACTCCGGTATCTTCAACCCTCTGGTATCATGAGATCAAATAGATTATATGTATAATGGAAATGATTAAAGACTGTACTTCCTAGATCAGGGGTCCACAACCTTTTTAAGCCTACGGGCACCTTTGGAATTCTGACAAAGCATGGTGGACACAGCCACAAAAGGGTTGCCATAAAATGGCTGCTTCAGGAGGTGGAGCCAGCTACAAAATGGTTGCTTCAGTATACCTTCAGTCACACAGTGAAGATCCTTGTGTTGTGGTGGCAGCTGCTGCAAAAGCAACAGTTTTAAAAACAGTCACTCAGAAGCCTTGCTGAGCAAAAGCCCCACCTCACCCCACCGACATTCTAAAAACACTTGATGGGAACCAGAAAAGGGGTCAACGGGTGCCATGGGGCCCACGGGCACCATGTTGGGGACCCCTGTCCTAGATCATTCCAGATCAAATCACAAACTAAGGACCAAACTGCCCACATTTTCTCCATGGATGTCCCCAGGTTAGGGGGCCAGGTATATTCTGAAGTTCCATGATTTCTAGGCACATGCAGGCCCCAAGCTAATGATGTAGTCAAAAGAGATTAACTATGAAGTTTGAAACTCAAAACGTAAAATGGTGAATGCAATAGTATTTCAGTAGAAGTAAGAACTATTGTATACTATAGGTAATACCTCAAAATTACAATGAAGGGAATGTAAAGGAAAATATTTTCTGTCTCCTACATTTTGTATTACATGGGTCCTGTTCACACTAGGCGATTTGGGCCGGGAGTGGCACTTGGTGGGAACCAGAAAAGGGGTCAATGGGTGCCATGGGGCCCACGGGCACCTTGTTGGGGACCCCTGTCCTAGACCATTCCAGATCAAATCACAAACTAAGGACCAAACTGCCCACATTTTCTCCATGGATGTCCCCAGGTTAGGGGGCCAGGTATATTCTGAAGTTCCATGATTTCTAGGCACATGCAGGCCCCAAGCTAATGATGTAGTCAAAAGAGATTAACTATGAAGTTTGAAACTCAAAACGTAAAATGGTGAATGCAATAGTATTTCAGTAGAAGTAAGAACTATTGTATACTATAGGTAATACCTCAAAATTACAATGAAGGGAATGTAAAGGAAAATATTTTCTGTCTCCTACATTTTGTATTACATGGGTCCTGTTCACACTAGGCGATTTGGGCCGGGAGTGGGACAGTTCGGGGGTGGAGCAAACAGGCGCGATCACACCACAACATCTGGGAAGCGTCGTGCTTCCGTCCCCGAACTGGCCCTTCCCCGCGAACATCCGCCCCAACTTGCAACCACCTATCTTGGTGGTTCATCGGGAAGCTGCGCGGCAAGCCGGGCGTTTGATCGCCGGCGCTTCCTTGCGCCGGCTCATCCCCGGCGCCTAGCCGAACTGCGCATACTCGGACATGCGCAGTTCGGCAGGCTCCCCGTCAGGGCCGTGTTTTCTCCCCGGCGTCTGATCATGCCGGGGAGAAAAGGCAGCGCAGCCAGGGGATCCATGGGATCCCGCCGCGCCGTTTCAACTTTGGCGCGGCTTTTAAAAGCCACGCTTTTTGGCGGCTTTTCCCCTGACG